ACCTCACAAAGTTTGACATAGGACAAATGTAATATGCACTATATTTTAGGATTGGAGTACTTGGAAAATAGCATCGTTTACAAGCAAATTAATGGTCACCGTGAATAAGCTAATTATTAATAATCTTGTGCACGACGGCGTTCTTGACGACGGTCAGATCGCACCTGACCGTGAATCAGCCCGCGTCTTGCAGGGTGGTTTGCTCGATAAACTTGATAGCGCCCCAACAACTGTTGACACCCTCCGGCTCGAAGGTTTGCGCTATGCTCACAGGTTTGGAATCTCCGAGCACTTTGCCGTCTTTCCCCAGCAAGCTCAGAGTGAACTTGGCCTTCACGCTCGTCGCCTTTGCCCCTCCTACGAGATGCAGGAACGCCGCCGCGTAGCCAGGTCCCCGGCTGTCGCCGTCGGGGTAGAATCTGATGTTCCAGTTGCGGCCGCTGGCGCTGAACGTCGTCGAGCTCACGAACTTGTCGACGCCGACCGTGCCACTGAGCAGCGAGTAGTTGTCCACCACGAAGTTGTGCGCCGTGGTGGCCGTCGGGGTCACGCACCTCGACGACGTCTCGGCCGGCGGCGCGGGCGGCTTGCCCAGACAAGTGGTGATGTTGTTCCCCATGGCAAGCACAACACGGCGTGCGTGCGTGGGTTGGTCTCTCCCCAAGGATACGTGGCCCTTTTGTGTGCGTGCCTGAGATTAAGGGTCCCTTGACAGTTTGTTTGACATAATATAGGATACCGAAGTAGTAGGATCGTTATCGACTTTCTAAAAAACAGAATTGTTAACGACCAAAACTGAAAACAGTGATTCACAAAGCAAAAAGTGCTTTGTCATCTGGACTTTTGGTGCATGGTACCGCGGCGCTCGTCCGGCAGGAGTTTGAGTCAACGATTTGGCTACCGAATCCCAACAAAATTCCGAGGGTGGGCGAGAAACGCAGATACCGCGGTTACCGTAAAATTTCGAGGAAAAACCGCTCGAATTTTGAACATAATTTGAATTCAAAAATTTCTGAGCTAGGAATATACTAGTTGGGAGTTCAAGAAGTTCACAAACTCGCTGTTCGTGCAGTGGCAGGTTCTCCCCGTCCGTAACGTTTGTGCAGTGGCTTGTTGATCTAGAGGAGTTTCTGCCATACTTGACCATGTTGTAGCCGTTCAAATTCAAAAATTCGAATTATTTTGCTCGGTACGCAGCTTTCTCGTGGGGTAGCGAGAAACGCGGGTACCGGGCGGTATCCAAATTTTCCGCCCGGTACCCAAAACCATGGTTTGAGTTCGAGGAGGCTGTTTGGAGGGTGCCCGCGCCCCAGCCTGATCAAACGGTGGCGTGCCAAAATATTAGGGAGGGAATTCGCCGACAGAAAACTCACCAGCACGCGTACTCGTCTGCATGCTCTGCCTCGAGGCACTCTCAAGCCTCCCCATCCTCCCGCAGCTCGCGTGGGAAGGCCACTCGGAGTTGAAGAGGACCAGATCCGACATGGCGGATTCGAAAGGGAAGTTGAGCCATGCCGCCACGCCATGGAGGCGCACCGACTGGCTGGCGTACGCACACACTTTGCCTATGCTGCAGATTGGCAGGAGCCAATCCAGATGCGTCGGTGGGTTTCGCGGTGCGTGAACTTGGCCACCCACACCCCCATGACTGATGACGCACGCCGAAGTACCTCCTCCCATGGGCGGAGTCTAAAGGGTACATGGGTGTATATTTGTACACCCGTTAACTCGGGAAAGACAGCACACACTAAGTAGATAAATAAATATATATTGAAAAAATCTAGAAAATTTGTAGAATCTTGCACTCTGTACACACATTTTCGTAAACCTAGCTCCGCCACTGCCTCCTCCGTGGCACTGGCGGTGATGGCGGGTCAGGGAACCAAGATGAGGACATGTTGCTTTAGGAGGAATTGCCGCGACAGGCTTGGGACGGCTGCACGTGGCGGCGTGGATCGACGCTTCTGATTGGCGATGGGGACCAGTGCTAGCTGGATCCGACCATTTAGGCAGCGGGCCTGCACCGGAGTGGATGCGGGGGCGTGACGGCGGGAATGCGAGGTGCTTGGGTGGCGCTGGAATGGATGAGGTCGAACGATGGTGGGGGAAATTTTTACTCCAGCGGTGTGCAGTCGAGTATATTTAAGAGTTCGGGTAGCCACGGAGTAATTTTTTACTCCTCTAACGCGTATAGGAGATCGGTTAGTTGCGGTTTAGAGAAGAAAAACCAGAATTTTACTCCTCTAATGCATTTAAAGGGATGAGTTAGAGATGGTCTAACACATTTTTTCGATGGTGCCCAAACAAACCTAATCAAAATGGGGGCGTGCCAATATATCGACGAGGGAATTCATCGCCAAAAACTCGCCAGCTCGCATACAAAGAACCAGAACAGGTTACCAAAATATTGGATGTGATCCAAAATATTTGCTGCAATTCAAATGGTCGCTAGCAAGCCAGTATATGTAAACAAACTTGGCACTGCAGCTTTAACGAACGAGCAAAAAAAACTAACGTGGTTCCTCTCCTCTGCTCCGAGATTCATGCAAAGGAATGGGCAGTTGAAAGGTCGTTTGCTGGCTGATGTTGCGAGGGAACGTAAGCCAAATATCATTTGCGATATATTAATATCAACATGGTATCTGTAAAAATATAGTGCCAAGGAGACATCAATGATGCAAACAATCAAATTATTAATAAGTAGTAAAATGAAACAAGACAATCAACAGTCATGCTGTAGCGCTTAACTGTGCATAACAATAACATCAACCACCACCCTCAGATGTACATAGTTTGAGATATGATAATGTTAATTGACGAATGCTTGCTGGAAGGAGGCCCTGGCGAACGCCCGCACGGCGTCTTGATCGTGATCGAACGATGGCACTTTTTGTGAAGAATATCTTTTAAAAAGGAAAACTGCAAACCCCTACAACTTAAGTTGCCACCCTTCTGCATTAAATCTGCCACTCAAATGGTCCGCAAAGAACATTCGCCAGTTATTGGGGTTGATTTGATCCGCTTATTTACATGGATCCAATGAACATGATTATCCATTAGAGTAATGCTACATCTACAAAATATTAGTAGTTAAATTTTTAACAGGCAAGTTGATGTGAAGTTATGATTGGTAATAAGGGGAAGGAGCCCACTCCAATTGAATTTAGGTGGGAGAGAGAGAATTTAGTTTGAAAAATTAAGTGAATCATTTCTCTGTAGGTCTAGCATTATTGTTATTTGTTATCTTGACGAGAATGTTTCGATGATTACAGCACCCATGACCTGAGCCTACACGTGCCCAAGGGTGAAGGGGTGTAACAGTACAGTACACGGGATTAGGAACGATTGGTCCGAGGCATTTGACAAAGGTGTAACAGTACAGTAATGGATTAGGAACGAGCGGCGCGTGTATAACAGTACATTGGCACAAGACTCCGGACACTTTTTTTTGGGCGCTAATAGGCGCCGGCGCACCGGCCGAAACTTTTGGCCGGTCCCGCGTGGGCCATTGGATCTGTCTAACACGGAGCGCACGGAACCGCTCGATCAGGCGCGTATTAGACGGGCTCGAGGTGGACTTGGTCGTCGTCTTCCTCATCCGCCGCACATCATTGACTCTGGCTGCCGTCGCCATCTGCCACACCCCGCGTTGCTCGTGACTCGCCATGGCCGCCGCTCGTCGTCGCCGCTCGCCGCTCGCCGTTGCCGCTCGCCGCCGCTCGCCGTCTCCGCTGCAGCAAAAGAGGTACCAGCCGCATAAAAAACGGCGGCAATGGCGGACGCCAGGTCCAAAAATGGCGGGGCCGCCAGTTCCAGCATCCGTCACAGCACCATTGGTGCTTAGAAACAGTCATGTGCATCAACGGCTCGCCGCTGCAGCTTTTTCGTCGCCGGTTTCTGGTTGAAGCTTTTGAAATATATGGTTGAAGCTTTTGTGTTAACGATTGTAGCTTTCTGCGTTTCCTGTCGCCGGTTGAAGCTTTCTATATCGCCGGTCGAAGCTTTTTTCTAGCCGGTTGAAGCTTTTTTCGTCGCCGGTTGCAACTTTTCTGATTTCTAGTCACCGGTCACCGCCGTGAATGGTGGTAACAATTACTGTCAGTGGTAGTAGCAAAAAATATGTGTGGTTGCAGCAAAATATTGTCACGGCCGTCAAGGGTTGCATCTTCTCCATGAATGATGTAGCAAATTATGTAGTCGGTAGTAGCAAAAAATTGTTCGGTTGCAGCAAAAAAATGTCACCGTCGCCTGGATCGCATCGTCTTCACAAATGAATGTAACAAAAATCATCGCTGGTAGTAGCAAATTACATCTCTAGTAGTAGCAAAAACACTACACGGTTGCAACAAAAAGCGTTATCACTGTCATCGGGTCGCACCACAGGCGCATAATGGTTGTAGAAAATTCCGCCGCCGGTCGAAGCTCCTTTGTCGTCTGGTTCCAGCAACTTGCGCCAACGGTTGCAACATCACCTGTCGCATCGGCATAGCAAAAAACCGTCGTCGTCGTCGAGGTCCCCGCAGTCGCCATGCGCTGCCGTCGCAACTCATCGCAGGGCCCGTGCCTCCGTCATCGCTGTCTTTTGCAGGAAAACAACGTGGATGGGGGAGGCGCCCGCGCGAAGGAAGAAATAGCTCGTCGAGGGATGGGGGGAGGGGTTGGCGGCCATCTCCACCGGCAACTCTTCTCCGGCGAGATGCTGCCGGGCCTGGTCGAGGAGGTTGCGGCGATAAAAAGCTGCAGAGCAGCAGGAGGTGGACTCGGGCGAGAGGATAAGGGAGAAAACAGGATGAGTGAAGAAGAAAACAGGACGAGGGATGTGGTGGCTCCATGCAGCCTACGTGTCTCGTCTGAATTGGTTGCAGCGTTCGCGCGTGGGACGCGACCGGCCGAAGATTCGGCCGGCGCACCATCTCCAAACGTTTCCTTTTTTTTGAGAAAAAGAACACTTGATACCTTTTGCATGCAGAAACAACCGAACAAAATTAGAACAGGCCGTCATGTCGACGCTCAGCCTCACCGTGCTCCGGAGAGAGCCCGTGCTCGTCGGCCCAGCCTCGCCGACGACACCGTGCGAGAAGAAGCGCCTCTCCGACGTCGACAACCAAGACGAGCTGCGGTCGCACATCCGCGGCATCTTCTTCTACCGCGGCGGAGGGCTCGCGCGCGGCGACCCCGGGGACATCATCCGTCGAGCCTTGTCCGAGGCGCTGGTACACTACTACCCGCTCGCCGGACGGCTCCTGGAGGTGGAGAACCGGAAACTTGCCGTTGACTGCACCGGCGAAGGGGTGACGTTCATCGAGGCAGACGCCGACGTGCGAATGGCGGATCTCGAGGCCGACGTGCCCGGGCTGATGCCGCCATTCCCGTGGATTGAGGAGCTCTGCTTCGAGGTGGACGGCTCCAGCGCTGTGCTCAACTGCCCCTTGGTGATCATTCAGGTGAGCATTTCATATTTGCACGTGAGCACACACATTATCCACGCACAATTTGAGGCTAACAACTTCCTTGCCGATGGTCAGGTGACGCGGCTCCTGTGCGGCGGCTTCGCCGTGTGGCATAGCTTCAACCACACCATGTGCGACGCCGCGGGGTTCATCCAGTTCCTGAACGCCGTCGCCGAGCTCGCTCGAGTTCCTGAACGCCGTCGCCGAGCTCGCTCCAGTCCGACCGTCGCACCTGCCTGGTCTCGCGAGGTTCTTGACGCGCGAAGCCCCCCAACGCCTGCATTCCCGCACAGCGAGTACGATCCAGTGCCTCGGGCGCAGACACCAACAGAGGACGACGTTGTAAGGCGCGCCTTCGTGTTCGGCCTTTCAGACGTCGCCGCGATCAAGGAAGGCCTGCCGCCTCACCTCCGGGACAGGGCAACGAGCTTCGAGGTGCTCGCGGCGGTGCTGTGGCGCGCCCGCACGGCGTCGTTGAGGACGCTCTGGTCTGACGAGGAGGCGCGGCTGGTGACCGTCGTCAGCGCGAGGAGGCACAGCAGCGCCCTGAGCCTCCCCGCCGGCTACTACGGCTTCGCTTGCGCGTACGTCACCGTGGTGATGGCCGCCAGCACGCTGCTCAGCTGCTCGTTGGCGGACGTGGTGGAGCAGGTGCGGGAGGCCAAGGCGTCGGTGACCCCCGAGTATATGCGCTCCACTGCGGACCTTCTGGTGCTCCGTGGCCGACCGCCTTTGGCCAGGGCAAACATGTTCCTTCTGTCTGACCTCCGGCACGTTGGGTTCCAGCGCGTGGACTTCGGGTGGGGCGAGCCGGTGTACGGCGGGCCCTCTGGCGTCAAGTTCGGGAGTGCCTTTGTGGCTGTCAAGACCAGCGACGGAACAGACGCGGTGGCGGTGCCGGTCGCACTGCCAACCATGGCCATGGATGTTAGAATAAATCTGAGGCATACCGTCGATCATCCGAGGACCAAGCAATCACACGAAGCACGACACCGAGATTTGTTAACGAGGTTCACCGATATGGCTACATCCCCGGGGCCTGACTACGGGCGCTCCTCCCCGTGACACCGTCACAATACCGCACCCCGGCAGCCCGGGCGCCGGCACACGCCGCCGGCTCCCCCCGCGTGTCTGTGCTATTATGTTGGCATAGGTTACATCGTGTGTCTACCCCCGCTATATATGAGAGGCCTAGGATACAAGTGACCTACTAGGACACGGCTCCACATCCTATGTAAACACGATACAACTACAAGTCCAACTGTAACCTACCTTGTACACTATATTCGACACAACTCCAACAAACTCCACCTTGGCGAATATACTCCACCATCCTGGATTTGTCCATGCATCAAACTTTCATGTACATTGGACTTGAGCTTATCCCATGAGTACCGCTGCTACTCCAAAGACTCCATGTGACTCCACCTGCAACTTGTAATCCCTTCTTTTCTTGACCACAGTCAACACTCGAGCAAAATTAAGTTCCTTGTTACTCTAGTTTGCGCTCCCAACTTCCAGAGTATCAGTCCAACGTCATCACACACCGATCACTGACCTGCGTGAAAGGGAACAACTCACATATTGGGTGTCACACATAAGAGTTACGTGAACTCAACAACACCGCTCCTTTCTTGACCGCCTGTCTGAAACTTGAAGGAATTTCACCATTGCTTGTAGTCACCCCGAGTCAAATTTGCAGTTGTCTCACCACATGTATGACCACCAGAGCCCTGGCCCGTCTCCATGTGTCATGGTTCTAAGTCTGACAGTAGAAAGGGGTAGGGTAAAGGAGCATGATCTATCGAGATGCATATGGGTGACACGATGGTTTTAGCGAGTTCGGGCCTCTCACGATGGAGATAACAACCCTACGTCTCGTGCTCTGGAGAGGCTTCATTTTATCTTAGTATGCATCCGGGGATTACAATGTGTGTGTGAGAGAGAGGAATGGATCCTCATGCCTGAGCTAAGTCCTGGGACTAATGGTGAAAAGAGAGAGAGGTGGAAGAAAAAGCCCCCCAATCTAGTGGTGGGGGATGGCTTATATAGAGTGCGCCACCCCCTCACCTCCTATGTTACAAAGTGGGGTATGAATGCCATAATGCCAGCCCATTATTAAGCCCTCACTATTAGAAAGATGCAGACTGCTTTGCTGCCTGCTGATCTTCGTATATCCAAGTGAGTCGTATGGTCGAGTGGTGAACTGTCATCCGAGTGGATGGTATGTTGCTTGGTCGAGTGGATAGTGTGTCTGTATGAAATTGACCTGGACCCACATGTTGTGTGGACCCCATGCTTCATGATATTTCGACCCTTCGTGGGCCTACCTGTCATGTATATCCCCAACATTAGCCCCCAAATCGATTGCGATTTTGCAGAACGAGTTGGTGTAAGACACAGTTTGGTCCGAGTGATTACAGAAATACTTGGTACAGGTCGTCGCGCTTTCAGACAACCAAGGTTTGAACAAAATCTCAATGGATTCCGGCACCACGCTTCCCGACTGATCGAGGTAAGTGTCTGTGAGGAGCAACTTGGTGACCTTCGTTCATCTCTCGGGAGAGGTTTAACTCGTGATCTGAGTATGGTTGTGTCATTAAATCTGTGCAACCAGATTGACACATGGACTGCTCTCTTAGAGAGATGCCATTCTTATCCCGGAGGAACGTCAATACGAGTCGGTTTTAGATCCACACTTGTGAGTTTCACACTTTGAGTCCTAGAAGAAGGCTCAAAACAGGTCCACGGAGAAGCGTTAAACTCGCCTTATAGAATTTTTTTTGGAGAGATTTGGAGCTGGGCCTGCATCGAGTAACTGATTACTCAGAATTTCTTCATGTCTGGACGTGTCTTTTTTGTTGTTTGGCCATCACTCGGGTTGGGCGGACCGTTCCGAGTGGATACCATTCCAGTGGGGGCACGCTGAGTGCACCCACTAGGTGTAGTCCCCGAGACTGCCGTCCACTGCGGGCAGTCGGCGGGAGTCTTAGAGCCTGTCTTTTTGTTGTTGTTCATCGCTCGGACTGGTCAGGCCGTACCGAGTGGAGTTTACTCCAGTGGGGGCACGCTGAGTGCACCCACTGGGTGTAGTCCCCGAGACCGCCGTCGACTGCGGGCAGTCGGCGGGGGTATGAGAGAACTAAAACTCTTCTTAGCTGGTACTGGTCGAACTTGTTCTTCTCTGACTCGAAGGTCAAGTAATACTGGAGATGGATTTGCGTCGAGCAAAATGTTTCTTTCTGAGTTCTCTTCCAGTGGGGGCACGCTGAGTGCACCCACTGGGTGTAGTCCCCGAGCCTCTGTCGGACTAGATGAGTCTGGCAGAGGGTTTAAGTCTCTCGGTAAACCTCCATGCAGTTGGCACGGCAAATATCTTTTTCTGGAATTGAATCAATCGGATGGATGCGTAACGAGGTGGTTGTACGAACGACGTTCGACGAGTAAGGTCGCCTGTACGATTCAGCGATGGCGCTTCATTTTTACCCTTTTGCATGAAAGGGGTATTTATCCAAGTGGACGTGCTTCACTTATAGATCTTCGGCGAACCGAGCATGTATGGTCAGAAGAATATTCTTGATGTGATCAACAGGTTGACCAAATGGGCGTAACCCCTGAGGGTGACATGGCCAACTGCCGTGTGTAGCCCCCGAGTGATGCTCGAAGGAGGTAAGCTTGCTACAGAGTGTGATATGAGGTTTGACCATATGAGTAACTTAGCCGTTCCCGTGCTGGGGGTGTAGAGGTAAAGACATTTCCAACTGATGGTGACGCGCGAGGCGGCAGAGGGGCGATGATGTGTACAACCGAGTGACGATGCACGGGGCGGTCGAGTGGTGAAGACGCGCGCAACCGAGTGGTGACGCGCATAGCGGTCGAGTGGTGAAGACGTGCCCAACCGAGTGGCGACGCGTGGGGCGGCCGAATGGTGATGATGTGTGAAGTGGTTGAATGTAGGACTACATATCTAGCCAAGTGAAGATGCACGGGGCAGCCGAGTGGTGAAGACGTGCACAACCGAGTGGCGGCGCGCGAAGCGGCTAAAGCGAAGTCGTGTGTCACCGGACGGTGAAAATGGTCCTCGGAGGACTTAGTCGAGTGCTTTCGAAGCTTATGTAGTGACGAGTTTGGTGTAGTGTGGTTGCGACGCAACAAGACCGGCGTGACAACTGAGTCTGAGTAGGAATGAAGATGGCGTGCAGAGCGTCTGGGTGATTATAAAACTTGTCCAAGTGGCGGATCGAATGCACTTGTTGAAGTGAAGGATCTGACTGGTGATGAAGTACTCGACCACTCAGGCGAGTGTCATTCCAAATGAGGTGCAGCCCCCAAGTGCGGCATAGCCCCCGAGCATACTACAGGCTTCGACAATGGACATGCCGAAATATGAGAAATATAGTCTTGAATGGATGATTTGCAATTCATCGAGTCGGATTTGGGTAAAGATGAGGAGAAGCTTCCGAGTGAGGCTCGAAAGAGGCAAACTCGCAAAAGAGTGAAGTGTGAAGTTTAATTATGAAAGGGACTTATCCGTCTCATGCCCGACGAGGTCTATATCATTGATACGATGAAGAGAATTCCATAGAGGGGTTGGCCGGACGTGTTTGAAGTCAACAGAGCGACAAGGTCAGTGTTGTGGTGCGCTAGGACCAGTATGGTGACCGAGTCCGAGCAGCGATGAAGTTGGCGCGTAGGGCCATCGAGTGATCGCGTAACTTGTGTAAAAAATGGCACAAGTCAACACAATAATTTCTTGAGGAAATTTGATGTGTGCTGAAATGATTTGTGTGAATAACACCTATAGACACCCGCTGGGAGTGCAAGGGGCTTGCTGGTTGACCAGCAAAAGTCTAAAAGAGCGAAGGATTCGTTCGCACTTGTCGAAGCGAGAGATCCTACTGAACTCGTTGGAATACTGGCTAAAATAAAACGGAAGTGTAGTGTTTTGACTGAGTTGCAGCCCCAGAGGACCGATGCAAACTCGAAATGAAGAACGACACATGGTGTTCGTGAATGATATATGCGAAAAAATGGAAGTTGGACTTGGGAGTCACATAACCAGTACTAAGCAAGTATGTGAAAATAAGCAGTCGAGCGTAGAGGTACACTCGGTGGTGTGGCATCCGAGTGAACGTGATGTGTGAATTATGGAATACTCGGGAAGACGAAAATAACAGAATGTAAATTGACTTAGCTGTCTGAAGGCGCACGAGGCGCTCGAGTGGGGATGAGGTGACCAACCGAGTGGCGACGCACG